TAATTAATAATTTATGCATTTAGCAGATGCTTTTATCCAAAGCGACTTACAGTGCATTCAGGCTATACATTTTTTACCAGTATGTGTGTTCCCTGGGATTTGAACCCACGACCTGTTGCGCTGCTAACGCAATGCTCTACCACTGAGTCGAGAGCTCGCACGAAAACAATCACATTCAATCATAACCGATCATATCCAATTATAGCGCGATGAAGACATTACCTCCTCTCACATGACTTTCACCCATTCATTCTCAATTACAACCCAAAAAAGTCACGGCACACTAACAGGTCTCTGTTATAAGTCTATGGACTGAAGGGAGGCAAGCTTCTGCTGTAACTTTACCTGCGGGATGGCTGTCGCTGTTGGACAGTGTTACTTTATTAAAACGAGTGACTTTTATACTTTTAATGCCATATTTAGTAATATTTGCGATTTATGTTTGTAATATCGATTATTTTGTCATCCAATTTTTTGAGGAGACACTGCCTCCTTTGCCTCCTCGGAGGGAACGCCCCTGATCTTGATCTACTTCTCCGACCCATTGTTTATTCTTTCAACGTGTGGAAACCAGTCAGCAGTATGTCATTAGCAGTCAAACTCGTTTTGATGCTTGTTCATTTCGTTATCGGAGCAGTATGCTTTATTAATCCCGTTGCTGTAGATTTGGGTCACGCTCAAAAACAGCAACTTGCATTCTAGATTTTTGACAGCATAACGCGTAACACATGTAAAAGCTGAACTGGTTTGCTCCAGGTGTATGCGGTAGCCTGGAGCGGAGTTTGCTTGCGTTATCGGATTGTGAGTTAAAGGAGTGCCTTGCCGTGTTTAGCTTGGCCTGCATGGCACAGAGGTTAACGGCACCTTCCGTTAGCACTGCTCTTGTGGAGTTTCCATGCATTCAAGGACATTTTATCCATTGATTTATGCCCAGGCCTTTTCCAGTCAGCCAAAATTCAAGGTTTTGTCTGTTAATGCGCATAAAACATGAAACTAGCGATTTAATGGCGAGTTGACAGAGCGAATATCTTCTTTTTGGACTAGTTTAGATGTAGACGAGTGTTGTTATGTCTCGGTTAGGGGAATGGCAGCCACACTAGTACCAGAATTGAAATTCCAAAAGGATCAAACAAATATTCCAGATTCTCTTTCTGTTGAGACACATTTGAGCACCTCCTTCTCTCCCCTCCTTTGTTTAAGTGTCTACAAAGTGATGGATGACTCATCTGTGAATTCTGTACATCTGGTAAGAGTTTAGAGATCTGGAAAAGACATAAAAAAGAGTGAAAGAAGGGGGAGGGGTGAGAGAATTGGAGAGTAACAGGCCTTATAGAGCACCCCCAGCACATTTGGTCTGGAGACTAAAATCACCATTTAACATTCTGTGAAAGCATTACTGACAAACTATCCCTTAACCCCATACTGCGTATAGTTTCCAGAAGTTTTATGGAATTAAACCATAATGTGCAGGCGTATAGGTTGATATGCATATTCTGTTGATCAGCAGTTTTTGTGATCAGGAACATTAATGCAAATTCACAACTTCTGCTTATTTCTGTATTTTTCAATGTTTTTGTTTTCTTTTCTCCATTTTTTGAGCTAATCAGTATCCATGAATCAAATTTATCAACACACCTTTCCCATGTTTAATGGCGCTGCTGCTCTTATAATAATAATCATTTAGTTTTAGTTACATTTTTAGTCATTATGTTGTATATTTTTGTCATTTTTATTTTTATTATTTAATATGTCCATATAGTTTTTATACATTTTTATTTTGGTACATCAAGTCAAACTAAATGAAAGGAAGTGTGTTGCTTTGGCAACTAGCTGAAATTAAATAAGAGTTTTTATTTAGTTTTATTTTTAGTTAACTATAATAACCTAGGTCTATATTAACAATAATAATAATTGTACAATATAATAATAATTTTATAATTATTAAATGCATATAGACTAAATATAATACTAATACTAGTCTGATATATTTGGTCACGATTGAGTGTATGTAAATGTGCATATAATATTATTTTTAATGATTTCTTTTCTATTTAGATGATTGGCAAAAAGTCCTATATATACAGTATCTTTGCTGTGTTTGAATTGTTCCCTGGTATGTACATATGTAAATTTGACTCTGCTGGTCATACATACCCACAAAATTAAATTTGATATATGCTTTACACAGTATATAATGAATATACTGCTGAAGTTGACCACTCTGATGTTTCCGGCTAAACTAGTGGTGCAATTACTCCAGAGTTTTCCTTTCTGTTAAGATAATAAACCATATGCAGGGAAACCTAATCTAACAATCACTTGTTCTGTTCACTTTGAAGTTTTCTGGAACAATCTGTCACGAGCTGGTCTGTAACTATGCAGGTCGTATTTTCACTCCCTGGGTTTTTATTATAAGATTAAAAATTAAACAAATGTGTATATAATCAAGTGTGAGCATGTTGGACTTTTGCCTGGCATCTGTGGTTCTGGTACTGACTCGGCCTAAGGCAAAAAGAGACCCTTTTCTTACTGGCTCCTGGGGCCAATTTCTGTCATCTACTTTCTTTAAAATGCGTCTGGTTTGTCTTGGATTTAAGCTTTGTGTTACTCTGATTTCTTTTGTTTGTTGGCTTTTTTCTCATATTTAATTTCTTGCTCTCCCACCGTGTAATGTTCACTTCCTGATGATCTTTATCTCATGATCTTGACTCTAGATTCGATACTCTCGCTCCCTTTTCTTTGCTTTGTTTGGACTGTCGGCAGAAGCTCCTGGCTTCACTATCAGTGGTGTTGCCTGGCTGTAAATGGTCTTTATGGCAGGAAACAAGAGAGAAAGGAGCACAAACTGTGCGGCTTTTGGAGAAGCAAGTGTCTGTCCATCTGGTCTCTCGCTCTTTGCTTCGCTCAGTGCTGTGACAGAGGAGTTATTCTTTGACTAGTTTATGGCCTTCTGAAACAGGGTGCATTAAAGACGCTTCTGTCTTCCAGCTGCATCATAAAGCTCCATCATTGACATCATTTCACACTTCCAAAGATCGAAGTTCACACTCCGCTTATCAGCGATAAAGATAGATAAAGATCGTCTCTTTGCCGTTCTACTCACAATATGGCCCTTGAGGGAAAAACTGACATAACGGAGTAATTTTTATTGTTAATATAACAGGCCATAACTATATAATGTATATTATTTCCAATACCTTATTGAGCCAGCATGTCAGAGCTCAGTTCGGTGTCGACATATCAACAGGTCCATGTTGTTTACACTCAAATCAATGTGACTATATTTGAGAAAGTATTATCATTCTGGCCTAAAATAATTAATAAAAAAAGTTCAGTATGTTACTGGGAATTTGTTTTAGTTGTGGTTCTCCCCCCACCCCCGGTCATTTCCTAAATGACTTTGACCTTTGCAACCCTCTACGCACACCTTGGCAATATAATCGCCATTGGCTAGTACATTTTTTTGTTTACTCGCCAGACTGATATACTATTTTACACACACACACCTTTACTTTGCTATCTAAATGGGGACAGTTGAACGCCTCTCACACACACACTGGCGTGTAAAATCTAACAATTGATTAGCCAATGGCTAATGTTAGACGTTATTTAGTCGCCCAGAGTAAGATTTAGTCGCATATGCGAGTGATTTACTCGCAATGTAGAGGGTTGCTTTGTTAGGTGTAAATGTTCTCGTACCCTTGGTTTCCTGGCATAGGAAACTGTTGGCCGTTTGCCTTCAAGTTTAATGGAAACGAGAAAAATAGACATCAATGGCTGTTAGAGTTGAAGTTGAATTTACTAGCCTGTACTAGTGCGGTTAGGTTAGAAGTCATTATTGTCATGGCTATAAAGTGGTTGAATAGCATGTAGAAGTGTGTAAGCTCTCTGTTCTCACAGAAATTGAAGTGAGCTGAGCAGATAGAGGATGATTGGATAATTCTTGAATATAGCATTATTAGAGCTGGAAAAGCATATTGCACTCACCTTTCCTTAAAGGGAATTTCAACTGCGCTCACTAGTTTCTTAACGATCCAAAAAAGTGTTTCTGGTTTCCTTTAAGGGTCCAGTCGGCCTGCAGGACTCTCTGAGCAAGAGAAGAGGTGTTTCTTTAGCTCAGAGTAAAGACCAGTGGGTTTGTTAATGCTTTGAATCATAATAGGCATGAAACAAATCGTTTAAGAATAGAAACATGATCATATCGTCTGAGTTTGCAAATATATTTACGCATACAGTCATGTTTAATTAGTTGACTTGTGCTACTTTTTTCATTAATTTCTTCAGATTTCTGGCAATATTTCTAGCCTTGATACACAACATAAATATAAAATAAAATAGAATATAAAGAGATTTAATAATAAATACGATAAAGCATACAGCTTAATCATCATTACTGATTTTAATTATTCTTTGTCAGACTTAAATGTTCATTTTCAATATTGTATTAAAATCTATTTTTTTATATATGAATTTAAGCGTTTTTCTGCCAAATTGTATTAGGAAGCAATTGTTTTTTTTGCAATACGCTGAAACATTCAAACCTAGCAAGTGAAATCATTAAAGTTCCCATGATGCAACTTCATGTTTTGGTTATTTTGACATATTTCTGTTCAAACAGGAAGATGGGGTGGGAAATATCAGTAGGCTTATATTCTTGAACTTGAACTTAATACTCATCAAAGAATCCTGAAAAAAAATAATGATTTACTCAAAAACTGTTTTCAACATCATGTGACACTGAAGACTGGAGTAATGGCCATCACAGGAATAAATTACATTTATTACAAGTATACTATTGTTTTACATTTTGCATTTTTGTATACTGACCCTAAACTTTTGTGCCTCAAAGTTAACAGACATGGACTAAAAGCCACAAAACTCCAGTGTTAGCCACAAAAAAACCAGCCTGCTGTACGGTTACAACGACCATGTGATTTATGCCCCAAAGGTCAGCCTGAAGGTGTGAAAGTTAGTGTTATCTGATAAGATAAAGCGGCTTAAACAAAGTGGAGCCACTGAGAATTAAACACGGTGATTATATAAACACTCTCATTTCCTTTTTGGCCGGTAAGACATAGGTCAGTTCTCCAAACATCACGAGGTCCCCATGAAGACTGATGTGATCTAGTCTGAGCATTTTGTCTGATTGGCTGTATAACAGTAAAACATTTAAATGACTGTAACACTTCCCGCCACTTTATTAGCTCCACCCACTAATGCCTGACAGAGCTGTTGGCAAACACATTATAACTTAGACCAGATAATTGTGAAATGGCTTAACCCAGTATTTGGTCTCCTTTTCAGCCCTTAAAATTCTGTAGTGGAAACTAATATGAGCATTAGACAGTAATGGGTGTGTGAAAGACGAGATTGTCGGTTTCATTACTCTCACTCTTAACAATTTGCAGGTTGGAAACAGCTAAAGCAGATTAGCGACTAGCATTCTACATGACGTACATGATTTTCTCGGCAGTATTCGTGCCCCCTGGCGAGCCTCTCAAAGCCTGCAATTTTTTACTTTGCTTTGGTATAATTAGGTAATTGCCTCATGGTACAGGACTGCAATTTTGCTGTGTTCACCTCTGTCAGACGGTTGCCTTGAGGGCAGCTCACTCTGTGTTATTATCTCCGCCGAGCCACAGAAGCATTGTGACAGTTTTGCCTGTTCAACTTAACCAAATAAAGTACTAAATTGTGTTCTAGTTTATGTAACTTTACCGCTTGAATGAGGACAAATTGAGCTACTAAGAGTGTGATTAGCAAACTTCTTACTTTTTTCAGTATACAATCCCAGTTTGAGAAGGCCATCGTAAATATAGTCCATGTCTGTTCTTTCTCAAGTTTGTATACATACAGCTTCACAGTCTGCAGTTGACAGCTCAGGGTGAGAAACAGACACATTATTTAGTGTGTTAGGTAATTCCGCTTCTTTACAACCAGCTGTAGCCCCACAAACCTGTCAAAATCGACTCGGCAAACGGAAGAACAATCATCCAGTTGTTTCTTTACAAGCGCAGATGAGCTGCCGATTAAAACGTTTAACACTGCTAAGTGGAACTTGATGGGTGTGCCATTGAATCTGTTAGTCAGGGAGTTGAAGATAATCCGAAAGTCAATACCTGGTGTTTGCAGGAACAAGCAGCGTTCTAAACGGATTTTACAGGTGGACACTTCCTGTTACACTATGATCGTTGCCCCATAGACTTACAATGGAAGTGCAAAACTGCCAACTGTTTAACCTGGATTGTTCAAAAAACTTAAATATATAACAAATATACATTTGCTGAAACATTTAGCCCTGAATATTTGTTTACAAAATATACATGTAACCTAGCATACTCCTTAAAAAAATACTCGATTATATTTTTAATTGAGTATTCTTTTAAAAAAAAAAATGGAATAATATACCTGGAAAAATATATCTGTTTCAAATAAAGGCTGTTTTTTTTTTTTTTTACTTTCTAAAAAAAAGGTAAGAATGTATCACGGTTTCCACAAAAATATTAAGCAGTGTAACTGTTTTCAACATTGATAAAAATAAGAAAAGTTTCCTGCGCACCAAATCATATTAGAATGATTTCTGAAGGATTATGTGACACTGAAGTGATGATAAAAAAAAAAATCTGATTTGCATCACAGGAATAAATTACATTTTAAAATATATTAAAACAGAAAAGAGTTATTTTAATTTGTAATAATATTTTACATTATTACCGTTTTTGTTGTATTTTTGTTTAAAGCCTTGGTAAGTGGTGTTGGAGAATAACTAATTACATGTAACGGAGTTACGTAATTTAATTACAAAATAAATGTAATTGTACTTCGTTACAGTTACTGAGAAAAACGTGTAATTAAACTACAGTTACTTATGAAAATGTTAACAATTACAAAAGGGGTCACATCTGAATGTTTTCACACACACCCATATACAGATTTAATTGATTTCTTTCCCAAATTGAAATATATTTAACCTAAAATATATTTAAAGAACAATCTCAAAGTAAAAAGAGGTGCTGAAGTCTGATTTTGTGGTGTGCTGTGCTTTAAATTAAATTATAATCTTAATTCAAGTGAGGAAAGATTTTGAAAGTCTGACTGTAATCAGTGTTGAGTACTACTGTAAGGTTAACCCTGTCTGGTTTAAATGTTTGAAAATGATTAATTGTTGAAAACATTCATTAGAAATTTAGAAAAGTAATCAAAATGTAATCCGTTACATTACTTTAAAAAAAGTAATTGAAATAGGGCAACTTGTAATCTGTAACCTACTACATTTCCAAAGTAACCTTCCCAACACTATTAGTGAGTATACATTAAATGAACTTACTGACCCCAAACATTTAATAGTGGTAGTGTATATGTGAATGATTAAAAAGGTTGAAATCAGAGTTATGGCCTAGTAGTTTGTGCTCCAGACTTGTTGAGTCTTGGTGTCTATTTTGGGGGGGGAACAGTTCAAATCCAACCAACCTGCATCATTTTCATGTCTAAAAATAATTAAAAATGGAAAAAAAAGTGCTCCTGCAAAATATCAAATCAGTTAACATTAAATCCCTTTTTAATCCAATTACTCTTACTATAAACAATGCAGAATGAATGGTGCGTCCCATCCAAAAGGAAAATCTGAGCATGCAGTAGCTTAGGAGTGAAGGAAGAAACCACAGAGCTGACAGGAGCTCTATAGATCACAGCCCCATCAATCTCTGACATTTCAGCAGGAGGCCAGCGCTCTGCCAAGCCCAGTCTGAAGCTCGCCTGAACCGCGCTGAAATGAAGATGACGTCCCGCTAAAGGAGGCTGTTGATGGTCATGATTTATGGGCCATAAGTGTCGATACGACACGTTTCACTGATGAACCGGACTGATAGATTGTCCGGTGTGTTGTTGAAAGCTGCTGCTGGCGCTGTAGATATAGTGAGGCGAGAGATTTAGGGTGCTTGAATGGGTCTGCTCGTGAGAGAAATGCGATCATTTTCACGTCACCGCTTTTTACTGAAAGAGTAAAGTCTGTCGACTGTTATGAGTGCCTGAATAAAGTGTTTTAATAAATTTCTCTCTCCCTTCCCCCTCCCTTTCTCTGTTCACTCAGAAATCTGAGCCACAACAAGCTGGCGGCAGTCGATATGGACATCCTCTCCAATCTGCCCAACCTGAGAGAAGTGTGAGTAGAACAGCCCCGTGTCCCCAGTCCAAACCTCCTGTAGATCTGCCCAGCATCAGCTGTAAATCTGTCCCTGATTAATAAAGTCAATTAGCATGCTAGTAACTTTTTCAGGGCTGTAACAGAATGTTCTAGGGTGTTGTTGGCCTTCACAAGGCCAGCGTTTGTTTTCAGGACAGTGGCGTCTTGATATTGATCTTAATTCAGCTTTGTTCAGTTCAAATAAGAAGACCAGCATAAAAACCTGTTTGTTTCAGAGTAGAAGTGCTGGTTAATGTTACATGTAAAACCACTTCTATACTTGGCTAGAAAACATTCCCACAGCTAAAGCCCCATAGAGAGAGGCAATTGAATGAAGTACATTAAATGGTGTAATAACATTAATTACAGCCATTAGCCACAATCGGTCATAAATAATTTTAAAGCGTGCTGTCAGTGCTATTGGATATTTAAGCACTTTTGCTAGTGGCTATTGTCCTGAAAGTGGCGGAGAATGGGAATAAAGAGGTTTGCTATTATAAGCGCCTTCCATCATCACCCGACACCAGCCACTAACCTGCGCTGTAAATATTTAATACATCGAGGGACTGTGTCTGGCCCTTAGCCAGACGGGCCTACTTTCCCTTTCTCTCTCTCCCTCTTTCTCTCACTCTTGATGTTTTGATGGTCATTGTCAGTAAGACCCTTACGTAAAAATATCTATCTATCTATCTATCTATCTATATAAATTCAATGTGTTTTGCTAAATATATATATTTAGAACAATACATTAAACATCTTGTCATATATTTTTTATATATATAATTTATTTTATTAATATATATATCGTAAAATACATTAATTACATATTCAAATATATATTAAATGTATCATTATATATTAGAAATCTATTATATTTACTGCAAAATACATTAAATACAAATATGACATCTGTGTGATATCTATCTAGCTATCTATATATTATATTTATTGTATTATAAGAAATGTTATTAGAAATGTTAAGATAATTATATTAAGATATGTGTAACCTGTTCCGTTTTTTGCTTGACAGGAGGCTTGACCACAATGAGCTGACATCCATCCCTTCATTTGGAGCCGCAGCAGCAACAGTCGTTACACTCTACTTGTAAGTGAAACGTCATTGTGTGCTCTGTGATGACGGCTGCTGCTGAGGTGGCACTTTCTGTACTTGACACAAATTATTGTTTGCATGGTGCGGGCAGTCATTTTTTTTCTTCAGGGAACATTTCAGTATTAGCATGTCAGCTAGTGCCTTTCCATTTGCTACTTGTTTAATTTTTTGTGGTTATTAAGTCAGATAGCAAAACTGTGCACACCTAAAAATTCCCACTTCTAGTTGACGGTGTTTAGTGTTGCTGGCTGTGAAACTCAGACTGGTGGGACTGCCTTTACTAGCCTTACCCTGGAGAATTACTGCCTTATTTGGAGTGATCATGTGTATGTGTTTGTTTCTTGGCGGTTTAGCCCATTCCTTCCTCGGCATCCAGGTACACAGTTATGGTTTGTGAGTTTTCACAGCATTTTAGTAAGACGGCTAGATTTGCTCAAGCTGCAAATATCAGTACTGAATGGCAGGTTTGTACTATAATATTAAAGGAGAAGTACGTCACCAAACAGAATTTTAAAATGAGGAATTTAGAAGCAGTGATATTTTTACATCAAAGTATCAAAAAAGTACAGCTTCACCTTTACATTACTATTACTTTAAATAATGCTTGACTGTAGACTTGTTCATGTTCAATCTGTAGAGCCCTGTTTCAGAGCACCAGTTTGCCCGTATCTCCTTCACACCGACTGATAGCCCAGCAGTAATCTGTCTTCTGCATGGATCATGTTCCCATCTGTAATATATCTCTCCACTACCAAATGTGTCGTTCATTTGAGCGGTAAAACGATCTGTGTCTTTATAGCGGGCAGTTGTGCTTTCATGGTGTGACCTCATTGATTTACAGTTAATCACCGTCTCCCAGAAATGATGAAAACCCTGATGACTGTTTAGTTCACTTCACAGGAATCGAACATTTGATATTACCATGCCGAGCTGTGCTTGGAGGGTATCGGGAAAGGTTGGAATGAGGGGTGATGATCAGGGAATTTAGGTCCAAATGGAAGAGTGCTTCTTTTTTTGGTCTTGGTTCGAGGCCTGTCGCTATGGAGGGCCACCGCAAATCGGGAAGGGCTCATCTTTTTTGAGCCGCACAGCTGAATGCAGTAGAACGCCCAGCTGTAGCTGTCAATCAAGTGGTTTACTGTATATAAAAAAAAGAAACCGAGAGAATGGGGGAGGGGTCAGTCGGAAGGGGGCGAGATGGGTGGTTACCGATACAGGCGGATGAAGGGTTAGGAACAGAAAAAGCGAGAGGTCTCAGTTTCCACCTGTGAGGAACACCAGACCCCGCTCCTGCTCATGGCTCTTGTTTGGAACGCCGCTCCGCTCACAGAATTCCTCCCCTCTGAGTTCACCAGCTGGAATGCTGTCGGACAGCAGCTCCCTGTGATACGGCCACAGAGCCAGCACTAAAATACTGCCGCGTCTGTCACCGGCATCAAACTCCTCAATGCCCCGTTTCATCTGAACTGAGTACGACATTTTAACAGTAGCTCTCTTTTTTCCTCTCTCTCTGGTGAAGTGTTTAAACAGTTGCCATTCTACTGATTTCAATCATTTCCTTTGACTGTTGACAGTCATATTGTCACAGTGTGCTGTGCAGCATACGGTCTACGGTCAATGCAAGCCATATAATACAAATGGACATTGAAATATAGTTCTAGTGCGTTATGATTGTCAGCTGTTGGGGAGTGTTTGACAAATGTTACACTGGCTAGTTTTATGGTAGGGCTGGGGGTTTATTTGGAGACCTCACCACATTTATTTATGTTAAACAATTTGTTAAACGATCTTGATATCCTATCTTAATATTTTCATATGTTTGACAATTTTTCAAGCTGGCAATTTTTATTTTTAAAGAAACCAGTGTTTTACTAAAATAGCCATTGATGCTTATTAGATTGAATGTTTAAGACAAAAGAAAAAATAATTTAAGTAGTAATATTTATATCCTTTTATGAAAATGTATTTGCCAAATAAAAAGCACAATAAAATCACTGACATATTAAGAATGTTGGTAAATTTTTGTCGCCAAGAGTAATATTCTGAAATATGAAGTTGGCAAAAAGTTAGCAATAGCACTTAAAGGATTGTTTAGGGCCCTATGAAAATCGTTTTTATTTTTTCCCAAATTCTGCTTTTTCTGTTTTTATTTTTCTGGATTCTGGATTTTTTTACGTTTCAGTTTTTTTTGACTCTTTTTAATGGTTTAATTAAAAAATATTAATCAAAAAGCATGTCTAATTAATTGAAATCATGAAACTTACACAATTTAACAGCACTTTATAAAAAGTTTAACAAAAATTAAATTTTTTATATGAAATATGTTTTTTCTCTCAAATTCAGTTTTATTTTATTTATTAATATAATCATAATAATTATTATTATTATTACTAACAAATTCTGTTTTCCATTAAGTTTCTGGATTCCATGGTTCCATTAAATTTTAATAATCAAAATAATATCTAATTAATTGATTTTATAAAAAAATATATTATTACTATATTTATTTTTTTCTTTTGTCTTTTTATTTACATTCTGGTAAATAATTCATTCACACACAGACACGCAGAACATGCAGGATTCTTATTTAAATAGTATTTTTGTGGCTTAACATTCGCAGGCACTAGTCCATATCACGTTTTGATTTAAGTGTACTGACCTACTTATTAGTCCAAAATTTGGCAAATTTCGTGACATTACGCATTATACAGTAAATTCCATTTTTATGACTGGATTCCGCGATTCTGTCGGTGTTTTCCGCATCACGGAAATCATAGGGCCCTAACTGTTGCTGCTTTATGGAACCACCAATAACCAATTGGTTGCGGTTGTGCAAGACATTGTGAAGACCATCCCAAACCATACTATCACTACCTGATTTAATCTTTGAGAGCTCTGAGCAGCCTTCCCAAACCACCTCCACCATTTCATCTCCTTACTTTGGAGTTCATCAAGCAGATAAGCCAATCAGTGCTGCCTAAAGAAGCTAAACTGCTAATCCTCAGTGTGGTGCAGCTTTGGTTGGATTAACCGGCTGAGATATTCAGCTCCCACGCTCTCTCACCACAACAACAACTGATTCTGACACCGGTCTGGAACCCAGCTATAGCATCTCAGTTTAGCCCGAACAAGCATAAGAATAACAACTAAACCGCAAGCAAAGTCTTTGTAAACTATTTGTAAAGTATCATTTTGGCATTGGGTCTGTTTTAGGATCTGCTGTAACCCAGATGGAGTAAGCCAGATCCTAGATCTGATCCAGATCCCAACAGTACCACTTTAAAACGTTTTGTGGATTCAGGCCTGGGATGGCCAATGCATGAGTGTGGGCCGTTTCTCTTGGTAACGTCAGCATGTTTTTTTTGCCTGGTGAAGGTCACCAGCTGCTGACCTGCTACTCAGTGGAGTCTCAGTGCTCTGTTAGTCACAGGAACATCCTGTAGGGTGGTGAGCACAGCACTCGTCCTTATCCATACCCTCTGTCTGTTTATTCAGGTGGGACAGTGGGGGTACTCCCTCCTTTTCTCTTTCCTTCCGTTGTTCTCCCTGGCTCTTTCTTCTGTCCTTCCATTCCTCGTTCTTTTTCCCCTCTTCTCACAATTCCCACCCAGAATCCCAGTTAAACGGTCAACCCTGGGAGCATCTACGTGTCGGCTGGGTCCCATCTTCACTGGGAAAGGCCTCACTGGTCTCTCAGGCTCCCACAGAACACCTGCCAGCAGACAACCAGAGCAGAAATCCCCTCTCGGTCTCTGCGGACCATGTGTTTACTGTGAGATTTGCGCAGAATCGGGAATCCGAATAAGGAGGCTTTGTTGTTCCAGCACGGACTAGTCTTTGTCTGCCTGGACTTTGTAGGGTTTCGATAGCATTGATCATAGTGCAGGTGCTGGACTGTTAGGTATGACTAGCCGGCCTCAATGGAGGATGTTTCTGAAGATCTCTTTTTGAGGAACTGTCTACGAATACCTTTTATGGTGAATATCGGAATTGGAAGTTCATGGACCAATCTACCAAATAATAGGTATTACCAAAAAGTAATACCAGGGTACATTGCTATATAACGTTGTATTGAATTAACTATATTCAAATCCCATTGTGTTTACCCCAAAGCTTGTACATGAAGCTTTCATCTAATGCAGCGTCATTTCCTTATGCCCGCTATGTCTTATTTAATAGCAAGTTTATTAGAGGGAGATTTTCGGATTTGTTTCGTTAGTACTGTCCCATTCTCCAGTGCAGGGGTGGCTTACTCTGAAACTACCCCAAAACAAATTCCAGATGTGGAGAGCCTTGACCTCGCCATTCCTTCTGTGGCCGGCAAAAACAAGTGTGATTCTTAAGTCAGCTGCTTTCTCATGCCTCAACTCTGAAGAGAAATAGAAGCAGGGAAAAAGGACAGAAATCCAAAGCCCCCATGAGAGAAAACTGTAATTTGATTTGTCTTTACTTAGTTAAGAACTGTCCAAGTCTGATGTGACTAAACTTACAAGAGAACAAAAGATTTGCGAACAACACTAATTGTTGATTCTCAAACACTCAAGTCCAGTGTGGAAATTATGACATTTTCGCAAACAAAACAAAAGTGTCAGTCCATTTACAACCCAATCCAAATCCAGTGTAGGATTTTTAACATTTGAAAAAAAAAGAAAAAGAAAAAGTTGTATGCATGATTTGTTACTCTTTTGTGCGACTAAACGAAACTAATTTTGCGCTAAAAACTAGATGAAAATTGTTCTTGTGTGAAAAAAAATTGTTGAAATGAAGTGGCATATAGCTGTCTTTTCACTGTAAACCGGAATAGAATGAAAGTATTTTATTTTAATCTCTTCTATTGCATCCAAAGCTATACGTACAGAAACAGACATACACCGGTTTAGATGAATCTTTCATCTGACTGATATTTGTCACCATAGCTGGGTTTTGTTTGGGATTCCAGGCTTGTATGTGTTTGTGCATCTGCATGTGTGTGTGTTGACAAATCAAGTTACCGTATCAAGCCACAGTCACTTGGCACTTCTGAAGGCGTGTGTGGAAACAAGCCTCCATTGGGCTTCAAAGCCCTATTGACACATTCTCTCCGAAAGAGTCTCATGTGGTTAGAGCAGCCAGCAGCCTATCAGCGCAGATATGTGGGTCAACATATGGTTTCGCATAGTTGCCTATGCACTAATAAACTGAAAAACACTGCGATAACGTGACTTAAGAATTGTAACCCTTGAAATCAGATCTATGGTCTTAGTCTTTGTCAGGATGTTCAATTTGTTTGCCCGATCTGTGTAGACATTAAACAACAGATTAGTCTGTAATCTGTCCAGAGAGTCACGTGAAAACGTATTAAACACTCCTTGAAGGTTTGTACAGCTGTGTATAGAGTTAGTTATAATAGATGATGTGCTCTTTTTTCCTTCTAGGCACCATAATAAAATCCGCAGACTGGAGGGGAGCCTGCTGCAGAACTTCACTGCTCTGGAGACTCTAGATCTGAGTAATAATGACATCACGGAGCTGAGAGAGCACTGCTTCCCTCCGGGGTTACAAATCAAGGACCTGTGAGAAACCCACTCGTTCTCTCTCTTTCAAACTGATAGAACTGTGAACATCTGTGTTTTCGTGTAATACTGTGTTCTTTCACAATCTGAAGCGTGATATTTCATTTCTGTAGGCACCTGAGCAGTAATAAGATTGTTCATCTGGAGTTCGGGGCATTTAAGAACCTCGCCGGGAGTCTGCAGATCCTCAGATTGAGCCGGAACCGATTGACCCAGCTTCCTGTCAAAGGCCTGGAGCTGCCCAAGCTCACACAACTGTGAGTGCACTACACTGTATATATACTTTTCTTTAAACAAATTTATATTTTTATTCAGCAAGGATGCATTAAGCAGAAGTGACTGTAAAGGCATTTATAGTTAAAAAAAAAAGTAATTTATAGTTCTGTTTCATAGAAGTGAAAAAAAAAAATGTATCATGGTTTCCATAAGCAGTGCCACTGTTATCAACTTTCATAAGAAGAAGAAATGTTTCTTGAGCACCAAATCAGTGCTGAATTTCTGAAGAATCATGTGACACTAAAGATTAGAAATTCAGCTTTGCCTGCACAGGAATAAATTACATTTTAAAATATACTAAAATAAATAATATAATAATTTTAA